CCTCTCCACTCCTCTTCAATACATTGAAGCGAGCGTTCGATCAAAAAGAAGGGACGGAGCTCTTCCAAACTTCAAACCTTGACAAGCGAAGTCTGGTCCTCCCCTGCGGCTTTCAAAAGGCAAAGAGAAGCCCTCGACCTCATCCTCGGAAACTAGCAGAGAACTCGATCCAAGTTACTCTTGGTAAGGAAAGACAGCTTCTTTCTAGAAGAGAGCTCCTTTGCCTCTCGGTTAGAGGAAGAGATACACTGGCAAGAGAGGACAGAGCTCCAGCAGCTTCCAAAAAGAAAAGCCCTCTCTACCTCGTCCTCGACAAGAAGAGACTGAGAGCTTCCTCCAATCTAATGAGACAGAAGCAAGCTCCATCTCAAAAAAAAACAAAGAAGCCCCTCCAAGATATCGAGAAAGAAGAGAGCTCCGTTTACCCCTTAGTCGGCAAGAAGAGACCTCCTTCTTTCTAGGCAAAAGGAGATGCTGACTATCCCCTCTACCCTTTCAAAAGACGAAGAGAGCATACGCTCAAAGAAAGGGTGGAGCCCTTCAAACAAAGAGGTCTGGCCCTCTTGAAAAGAAACAGACCTCGTCCACCTCATGCTCTAAAAGAAAAGAAGAGAGCTCCCCCCGACATTTTCGTTGTAAGAGAAGCGAGCTTCTTTCTAGAGAGCTCCATTGACTCTTGGTAAGTCGCTTCTCAACTTTGAGAAGAGTGAAGAGACCTCACCCCCAGCCAGAGAGGACAGAGACGCCCCTACCCTCAACAATGAAGCAATACCTTATCATCCAAAACCAAAAGAAAGCTCCCTCCAATTTCATAAAGAAGAAGAAGGCTGCTCCTTTACCACTCGGTAAAGGAGGAGATCCCGTGGCAGGTCCCCTACCCCCAACGACCCAGAAGACAGGCCCCTCTAGCTTCTCGAGAAAAATTACATAAGCCCTTCCAACTTCGCGAAAGAGGAGATCGCTCCACTTATCCCTCAGTCGGAGCTCCTGACTATCCCTTCTTCCTCTTCAGAAGTTGGACTGGAGCTTACCAGAGCTCCCCCAACTTCCAAAGACAAAAGCAAAAGAAGAAGAGACTGAGAGCTTCCTCCAACCTGATGAGACAGAAGAGAGCTCCATCTACAAAATGAAAACCATGTACCTACAAGTTATCGAGAAAAAGGAGAGCTCCGTTTACCCCTCAGTCGGCAAGAAGAGACCAAGCTTCTCTACAGGTAAAAAACGAGATCCTGACTATCCCTTCTACCTTTTCAAAATTATGGAAGTGAACCTAAGAGATGGTGGAGCTCCCACCCAGCCTCTTTTCCTGCTTTCAACCTTGAAAACTCCCCCACCTCATGCCGCCAACAAGAAGAGAGCTCCTCCCCAAGAGTTCCGTGGTAAGAGAAGAGGGCTTCTTTCTAGAAGAGATGTCCATTATCTATTGGTAAGCCGCTTCTCAAGACTGGACTTCACTCCTAGCCACAGAGGACAGAGACGACCCCCCCCAACAGTGTGTGAGTTCTCTACCTAATCATCGAAAACAGGAAGAAAGCTCGCTCCAATTTCACAAGAAAGAAGAGGGCTGCTCCAAAAACCTCTTGGTAAAGGAAGAGATCCCGTTGCAGGTCCTCCACCCCAACAATTGAAAAGACAAGCCCCTCTAACTTCTCAGAAAAACACGCGCTCTGTTTACCTCTCTGTCGACAACAAGAAGACTCCTTTCTCTCTTAGTCAGCGGCGAGAGCTCCTGACCATCTCCTCTCCACTCCTCTTCAATACATTGAAGCGAGCGTTCGATCAAAAAGAAGGGACGGAGCTCTTCCAAACTTCAAACCTTGACAAGCGAAGTCTGGTCCTCCCCTGCGGCCTTCAAAAGGCAAAGAGAAGCCCTCGACCTCATCCTCGGAAACTAGCAGAGAACTCAATCCAAGTTACTGTTGGTAAGAGAAGACAGCTTCTTTCTAGCAGAGAGCTCCTTTGCCTCTCAGTAGAGAAAGAGATACACTGGCACGAGAGGACAGAGCTCCAGCAGCTTCCAAAAAGAAAAGCCCTCTCTACCTCGTCCTCGACAAGAAGAGACTGAGAGCTTCCTCCAGTCTAATGAGACAGAAGCAAGCTCCATCTCAAAAAAAACAAAGAAGCCCCTCCAAGATATCGAGAAAGAAGAGAGCTCCGTTTACCCCTTAGTCGGCAAGAAGAGACCTCCTTCTTTCTAGGCAAAAGGAGATGCTGACTATCCCCTCTACCCCTTCAAAAGACGAAGAGAGCATACGCTCAAAGCAAGGATGGAGCCCTTCAAACAAAGAGGTTTGGCCCTCTTGAAAAGAACCAGAAGTTGTCCACCTCATGCTCTAAAAGAAAAAGAAGAGAGCTCCCCCTGACATTTTCGTTGTAAGAGAAGAGAGCTTCTTTCTAGAGAGCTCCATTTACTCTTGGTAAATCGCTTCTCAACTTGAGAAGAGTGAAGACACCTCACTCCTAGCCAGGGAGGACAGAGACGCCCCCCCCACCCTCGACAATGTATGAGTTCTCTACTCTCTACCTTACCATCGAGAACCAAAGGAAAGCTCCTTCCAATTTCATAAAGAAGAAAAGGGCTGATCCTTTTCCACTCGGTCAAGGAGGCCGTCACCCGCCGGGATTCATTGAAAAAATAAAGACCCTGGCCAGGCCCGGCCGTCGCCCACCAGGAATCTTTAAAATTTTTGAAAAAATTGAAATTTTTGAAGTTTTTGAAAAAATAAAGACAAATTTCTCAATAATTTCAATTTTTCAAAAATTTCCTTCAAAAGGAAAAATTATTGAAAAAATTGAAATTTTTGAAAAAATAAAGACCCTGGCCAGGCCCGGCCGTCGCCCACCAGGAATCTTTAAAATTTTTGAAAAAATTGAAATTTTTGAAATTTTTGAAAAAATAAAGACAAATTTCTCAATAATTTCAATTTTTTCAAAAATTTCCTTCAAAAGGAAAAATTATTAAAAAAATTGAAATTTTTGAAAAAATAAAGACCCTGGCCAGGCCCGGCCGTCGCCCACCAGGAATCTTTAAAATTGTTGAAAAAATTGAAATTTTTGAAATTTTTGAAAAAATAAAGACAAATTTCTCAATAATTTCAATTTTTTCAAAAATTTCCTTCAAAAGGAAAAATTATTAAAAAAATTGAAATTTTTGAAAAAATAAAGACCCTGGCCAGGCCCGGCCGTCGCCCACCAGGAATCTTTAAAATTTTTGAAAAAATTGAAATTTTTGAAATTTTTGAAAAAATAAAGACAAATTTCTCAATAATTTCAATTTTTTCAAAAATTTCCTTCAAAAGGAAAAATTTTTGAAAAAATTGAAATTTTTGAAAAAATAAAGACCCTGGCCAGGCCCGGCCGTCGCCCACCAGGAATCTTTAAAATTTTTGAAAAAATTGAAATTTTTGAAAAAATAAAGACAAATTTCTCAATAATTTCAATTTTTTAAAAAAGTTCCTTCAAAAGGAAAAATTTTTGAAAAAATTGAATTTTTTGAAAAAATAAAGACCCTGGCCAGGCCCGGCCGTCGCCCACCAGGAATCTTTAAAATTTTTGAAAAAATTGAAATTTTTGAAATTATTGAAAAAATAAAGACAAATTTCTCTGGTGGGCGACGGCCGGGCCTGGCCAGGGTCTTTATTTTTTCAACAATTTCAATTTGTTCAAAAATTTTCCCTTTTGAAGGACTTTTTTGAAAAAATTGAAATTATTGAGAAATTTGTCTTTATTTTTTCAAAAATTTCAAAAATTTCAATTTTTTCAAAAATTTTAAAGAATTCCTGGTGGGCGACGGCCGGGCCTGGCCAGGGTCTTTATTTTTTCAAAAATTTCAATTTTTTCAAAAATTTTTCCTTTTGAAGGAAATTTTTGAAAAAAATTGAAATTATTGAGAAATTTGTCTTTATTTTTTCAAAATTTCAAAAATTTCAATTTTTTCAGAAATTTTAAAGATTCCTGGTGGGCGACGGCCGGGCCTGGCCAGGGTCTTTATTTTTTCAAAAATTTCAATTTTTTCAAAAATTTTTCCTTTTAAGGAAATTTTTGAAAAAATTGAAATTATTGAGAAATTTGTCTTTATTTTTTCAAAAATTTCAAAAATTTCAATTTTTTCAAAAATTTTAAAGATTCCTGGTGGGCGACGGCCGGGCCTGGCCAGGGTCTTTATTTTTTCAAAAATTTCAATTTTTTCAAAAATTTTTCCTTTTTGAAGGAAATTTTTGAAAAAATTGAAATTATTGAGAAATTTGTCTTTATTTTTTCAAAAATTTCAATTTTTTCAAAAATTTTAAAGATTCCTGGTGGGCGACGGCCGGGCCTGGCCAGGGTCTTTATTTTTTCAAAAATTTCAATTTTTTTTAATAATTTTTCCTTTTGAAGGAAATTTCTGAAAAAAATTGAATTTTTGAAACTGGTTTCTGTATTCTCGTATCCCCTATGCGTCTTTCGAAACAACAGAGACCTGCAAATCATACATAGAGGTCCAATACACATACACATATACACATACACACATATACATTGCACATAAAAACATATACACATATATACATACATATATGCATGTATATATATATATACATATATATATACATATATACATATATACATATATATACATATATACATATATACATATATACATATATACATATATACATATATACATATATACATATATACATATATACATATATACATATATACATATATACATATATACATATATACATATATACATATATACATATATACATATATACATATATACATATATACATATACTCGTACATATACATATACTCATATACATATACTCACATACATATACATATACATAAACACAGACATACATGCATACATACATACATAAATTACATATGCATACCAATATCGTACGGCAGACTACGTCAAAATGCAACATATGTGGCATGACAAAAAAGGGAAAGGGAAAAACGCAAGGGTACCAACGTGGGGACTGGCAACAACATCCCCGGGGCGGCCTTTCCGAGTTCGCGCTGCGCCTGTCAAGGCTCTAGTTCTGCACAAGATGATGTCTCGCACTTCCCTGTAAACCGTATCTCCAACAGTGTCGCCGCAAGCCCCACGCGTGCAAATGCAGTCGCATATGTCTTGCTGTGGCAGAATTCATTCCGTATCAGACGCCGTATCATACAGTAAGCAAAGAAGCTCAAACATTACCGACACATCCAGCCAAAGCTCCTAGCTAAAAGCATGCATCTGTACATGAAACATGGCAGTTGACAGATAAACGATGATCTGGACAAGCTCAGAATAACACGGTTCGTAACAATGAGCAACACTGATGCAGGCTACATCCCTGAAGCTTGCCAGCTCAATACATCAACACACCAGTCTCAAAAAAAAAGACTCTAAGCAGCATGTTTCCTCGCTGCGATAGAGAATCTCAGGGACTTCGGAAGGATCACGGCAAAATACCCTTGGCCTTCACAGCTTCTATGTTTACAGTACAAGGTGCTGTTTGGGAGGTACCGTGCCTGCGCAGCTCTGACCGCATCGTCCGACTCGATCGCCTGACGTTGCAACTGTTTGTCATGAGCCACAACATGCCAGACAAGAAGCGCAGCAGGCTCAGCTCTTGCTCGTGGATAGCAGGAATACACACATAAGACGCAAGCAGCAACCGGTTCAAAGCACAAACTGCTATGTGTGCCAACTATGCGAGAACTCACGGAGCACGTGTCATCCGTCCTGTAATCTTCCAGCCCGCATAAGTAAACCTGAACGGGTCGTGAACCCGTAGAAAACAAAACTCGTCAAGACCAACTCATCACACAAGTATGTGGGTGGGACAGCGTCTGCGCTCCACAAGCTGTGCCATTGTCGAACCAGTTCCCGCAGAGCTCTTGGAATACAAGGTGGCGAGAAGCATGTGCTTGCGGCTCACTGGAATGCTGTGTTTAGCTAGGCAATGCATATTGTGTCTATGTATGGCATCAAAAAGTCAGGAACCTCCGATGACTAGGCACACCTCTCGTCTTTCATCTAGCAGCAGAAACGGTGTGCTCGTTTGACTATATCCGGTTGCGTGCATGAGTAGGCATCAACTGGATTTAGTTTATACTAACCTACTACACCACACGTATCAACCGCCCACGTCGCGATTGCTACTCAAACTGCAAAATCTAAACATGACATTCAATCGAAGAGCGAGCCCTGGTCAGGAACCTGAAAGGATCGCTCAACAATGACACGGCTATTCGTGAACACAGGTTGGCTTAGGGGGCTCGGTGCTGCATGCATGAGACTTATCCGGAAAATGTGAGATCGCGTCCAATGCACAACGATGTATATCGGTGTGTCGGTGCCGGCTCTTTTCAAAACACTGCCTTCTGGCATCCAGGTAGCACTACAGAATTGAAAGCCCAAATCTTGCTCAAAGCAAGCTCTGTTGGAGGTCGGAGCTTCAACCGGGAATACAACAGCGCATTTTCGCTCTGCGAACCAAAAGCCGTGGACAGTAGGCTGTTGGGTCGGCAGTTGTGCCTCGCTAATCTCGTGGTTAATGCGGAGGATTGCCTTCGGCTTGGTCATCCAGGCGTGTCACGAGCAATCTGTTACACTGCTCTTCAATAGCTGGGGTTTGGGTGTTTAAGTACTTGAAGAATTCATGTTCCTGGATGTTGGGATGCTGCAGCCACGTCAAGGAACGCACAGATTTTGCGGTAGGCCGATTGGCTCTGGGAACAGGGATGGAGTCTTTGTGCTTAAATTTGGAGGGTATGCAACACGTTCAAAAGAAGACTTAGCAGGAAAACAGGATATCGAATCAAGTTCAAAACAGGCTCGAACATTCCAATATCTAGACCCGGAATCACTCAAGACTTCGATTTCTTGCCTTTGCGGTCTATTCTGTCGTAACCTCAAGCCCAAATGTTGAAAGCCAACCAGACTGCCAGAACCCCACATTGAAGCCGGAATAGCTCCAAGCATTGATCGACCAACCCACAGCGAAACAGAATGCTTACAATGGCAACAAGCTCGCCTTTCTCAATCGTCGCAAGCCACGACTCATACCAGTTGCAATCACGCAGCACCTCAACGCATACCTCGAACTGAGATCCCCCAGCTTCCTCTTCGGGTGTCTCGTTGCTACCGTCGACGACAAGGCCCTCCCTGGCACAACCAAAACTTTTTGGCGCTCGGACATCACTGCCCCGGGGTGATGTAGATTGGCAACTTCCAAAAACTGAGCGAGACTCTGTTGCGTTCTGGGTTGATGTGCAAGAACATTGAAAGGCCTGCGAACCGGTGAGCCTCATTTGCACCATCATGGGCACATATCTCACAAGTACACTCGATGCCTTGGGATGCTTCTGTGCAACCTACATTCACGCGCATCTCAACACCCCACCCACCCACCAACACACACACACACACATACACACACACACACACACACACCCGCACTCACACACACACACACACACACACCCACAAATGCACACCCGCACACACACACACGCCCACACACACCCACACTGTCTTGACGACCTGGATGCATTCTCTGATTGGATTTAGCTAATCTGTTAAAGAACGGGCTTCACTACGGTTCCCACTCTCACACTGAAGCGGTCACTTTTCCTTGTGGGTCGCTGTGTCCGCTGGGTCTCGAGCCTGCACGTCACGGGCGTGAGTCCGGCTGTTCCTGTACATTAACTACACTGCACTAGCTGTGTTACTGTTCCTGGCAGAATGTTTAACACCCCGCCTTCGGAGTTAGCGAAAGTTCCTCGACTGAGGTGACTCCGACTTCTCCTTGACAAACAGTAAACACGCTGCAGTTCCTTTTCACTACAAAACAAACGCTGTTCCTCTTCGCAAACGTTGCCGTTCACTCGCAATCCTCTCCAAGGTTGCTAGACTGTACAAAAGTGTTCCCGCACTTACTTAGATCACCACAGAAACAAAAAGGGCTGTGCCACGGTTCCTGTGTTGCTGCTCTTTCCTCGGCTCTCTGGCCTCACTCCTCGGCGTTCTAGCCTCACTGAAAGTTTGGCTTTCCTTTGCTTTGGCCTTCCTGTTCTTCTTCTTCCTCTTCTTCTTCTTCGTCCTTTTTGTTGTCTTCCTTGAGCCTCTCGGCTTGTTCCTTGAGGTACGACTGGCACTTCTCTTTTCCTTTGGCATCTTTTGACGCGATGCGCCAACCTGTTTCCTTTGATCCTGAATACCAGTACCACTGGGTCTTCTCTTCGTTCCACTTCCACTGGTATTTCCTGTTCTGGAAACTGTAGACTGCAAACCAGTTTCCTTCAAACTCTCCACGTCCTCTTCCTTTCTGGAACGAACTTTCGTTCACAGCCTTTGGCAGAAAGTTCCTTGTCGTGCTTTCCTTGCTTCTTCTGCTGCTGCTGTGTTGCCTTTGGTGGTTCCTTTCCTGCTTCTTTTCCTTCTCCTTTTGCTAGCTCCTTGGCTGGCTCCTTTGTTGGTGTTGTGTCTGGTTCCGTGGGTGCCTGTTACCCGGCTGCCGATCCTTTGCTTTCAAGTTCCTGCGTAAGGCTTGCAATCCTTTCCTTATCCTCCCTGCGTTCCTTCATCATGTCCTCCATCATTCTTCCCAGCTTCTGGATCCTGTCTCCTTCTTCAAGTGCCTTCTCCACTTCTGATGCTCTTGCTGCTGCTGCTGCTGCTGCTGCTGACCTTTCTGCTTCCTTCCTTGCAATGTACGAGGATGACTCCCTTTGGTCATGCTCTCTCTTCTTCCTTGATTCCTTCTCCTTTCTTTTCTTCTCTTGCTCCTTCTTTTCCTTCTCCTCTTTGGCTGCTGCAGGCTGCTGCGGCTGCTTCTTCTTCCTCTGCTCTCTCCTTCTCTGCTTTGGCTTTTGCTGCTTCTTCCTCTTCTCGCCTTCTCTGGGCAGCTGCTGCGGCTGCTGCCTCTGCTTCTGCTTTGTCTCTCCTTTCCTGCTCTTCTGGTGCTTCTTCCAACACTCTTCTTGCTTTGGCAATCTTCTCCTCCTGTGCCTTTCTTTCCTCTTCTGCTGCCGCTTTTGCTGCCTGCTGCTCTTTTGAGATCCTGTCCTGTTCTTCCCAGTATTTGCGATCATCTTCGTCTCGTGGTTGGAATCCTGGTTCCTCTCCTCTGCCTTTGGCTTTCCTCTTCCTTCGCCTTGCTTCTTGCTTCCTTTCTCCTTTCCTTTTGTTCCTTTCTCGTGCTTGTACTTGTGGTCCTTGTCAACCCAGATCTTTTCTCCTGTGACTCTGTGTTCCTTGTAGATCTCGCCGTTCTCGGTGTACTCTTTCCACTCGCTGCTGTAGTCGTAGGGGTACGGAAAGAGTTCCTTTTCCTTCTCCTTCTCCTCGAGCTTCTCCTTGCTCCTGGCGTTGATCTCTCTGATCTTCCTTTTCCTTTCTTCTTCCTGTGCTTCCTCGTCTTCCTCTGCTTTTGCTTCTCCTCGTTCTTCCTCTTCTTTCTCCTCATCTTCCTCTTCTTGTTCCTTGCCTCCATCGGGGTACTCCCCGGGATCTCCTCCAATGTAGCTTTGTGTAGCGCTCGTTCTCGTTCTCGCCGTAGTCCTCTTCTTCCTGGTCTCTCTCCAAGATCTTGTCGAAGTAGGCTCTGTCTGACCAGTTCTCCAAGTCCTCTGCTGTTCCTTCACCTTCCTTTCTCTTTTCCTTCCTTGGCATGGAGGTAGGTGACGTAGCTCTTGAAGTAGTTCCCAAGCCGTGTCCTGTGCACCTTAGTTCTGCTTCTTCTCGGCGTTCTCGGGCGTCTTTTCTTTTCTGTTCCTCTGTCGCTGCGTCTCCTTCTGGCGTTGTCTGGTAGTAGACGTCCTCCATCAGTTCCTGGACCTGTTCCTTGAGCTGGTCGCAAGTCTCGTAGACGTGCCTCATCCTTTCCATGGCTTCAGTTCTCTCACGCTCGTTCTGCTCAGCCATTTCCTGGACCTGAAACTTCACGTCCTGTACCTGTCCAGTAAGTGTCGGCTTGGATTGTCTCATAGTCTTCATACGAAGTGATCTGCCAAGGGAACTCCCATAGGGGCTGATACTCTCCGTCTTTCTCTCCAATCCCGCGCATAGCCAATCCAGAAAGGATTTGTACCAACTCCTTTGTCCAAGTTGGACTGAAAGGTTCTGACCCAGGTAAATACTCTTCTCCGCTTCGTAGAGGGCGATTCTCGTCGATGTCTTCTTCATAAATTCTTTCTGTCCACTCCCATCCTGGGGTTTCCTCAGGCGGTTGCTTCTTACCTTTTCCAGACCTTCTTTGCTCTGGAAGCTTCTTCTCTTTCTCCTTTCCAGCCTGAGCATCCGTTCCCAACTCGGGCATTTTCTTTGGCATCGCTTTAACAGCGGGTTCAGCTGGTTCCGGTGCTTGAGTACTTCCATCGTGGATGGATTGCAAGATCTGAAGTAGACCCTTTTCTTCTCCGTGGCGTACTGCGATGTTGAGGGCTTGTCCCATGGCACTTTGCAGTCTTTCCGATGCCACAATGAATCCACTTTGAGCCTTCTCCACATTCCTGCAAGCTTGGAGCCAATTCTCCTCGGCCTTACGAGAGTTTTCCACCTGCTCGTCTTTCCGAGCTCGTAGCTTGTCCACGACTTCAAGGGCTTTGTTGCGGTACCATTCTTCCGCCGAGTCCAGCGCTGCTTCGGGTACCTTGAGCTTTGCTTGCTGCTTGTTAGCTTCCTGAAGTGCTTTGGCCATACGTTCCGATTCTTCCACTGCGCGAAGGCGTTTGGTTTCTTCCTCCAGTGCTCGTTGCTTTTCTTTTGTCTCAGCTTCCAAGATCCGCTTTTGCTCTTCCAGATCGGCCAACTTTCTCTTCCGAGACTCTGCCTCGGACTTCTTCTCTTCTTCTTCCTTAAGAGCTTCGAGTTGTTCTGTCTCTTGATCCTTTCCTGGGGGATCATAGAAAGATCTGGGCTTGAATTTCTGATTGTTCTGCAACATCCGGTTGTAGATACTAAGGAAGGGGGGTTGATACTTTCCGTCAAGTCTGAATCTCTTATATTCTTTCTCAAGCAACATGACGTTCTCAATCGATCCTGCCACTTCCATAGCTTCATCCAGCTTACGTCGAACACCTTGAGGACTGGTGGCTTCTTCTTCCTGTTCCTTCCTAGCCTTCTTGGCTTTACGGCTCTGCTTGGCTTCTTTCCTGGCAGTCTTCTTCTCTTTCTTCTTTTCTTCTCGCGACTTTCTTCCAGTTGTACCTGGAGTCTTTGCTGGAGTACTTTCAGCTTTCCTTCTTGGCGTCTGCAGGAGGTTAGCTTGCTCCACCAAGGTAGCTCGCCTCTCTTCTGCACTTTGCCGCATTTCTTCCAACTCCGCATTCCGGTCCACCATGACATCTTCATGTACAGGCCTTGCCACTCTAGGCAACGGTTCATGTTCCGTGACTCGAGACACTTTCTGGTGAGGTTCATCCTGGAAGATCTCACTGTCTTTGAGTTCCATAGTTCCTGCCGCTGGGACGAGAGATCCTTCTTCCGATCGTTCTCCCATCCTTGGGGATACAATTGATCCCATACACAATCCGAAATTTCCTCTTCGAGGGTAAACGGCTGAAGTCGAATAATAAGGTGAGACGTGTTCATCCACAAGCAACTTGTTTCCTGAATGCTTCCTTGGCTCAGCGTGATACTCATACAGAATCCAACCACAAATAGCAAGAGGTCCTGGTACATCTTCTCCATGATCACCTTCATGGCGAATTCCAAGATTTACTGTCCGGTTTCCAGGTATCCTCGTGTACTTCTTCCGGTTCCAATCCGGTTTCCTTCGGCCCACAGGTTTCCTGGATCTTCAGGCTTCCTTGCTCCGCTACCAAGTTAAACTGTAAAACCCTGAGCGGTCACGCTTTTACTCTTGAACCAAGGCGCTGCATCGGTCACAGAGTATACAGCTATACAATACTATACCGTAGCCTGGGCTCACCAAAGGTGTGGGGCGTTCCTATGTACAGAATTCAACACGTTTGCAGTTGGCCTGGACCTGGACCGCTTGCAGCTTGGCTGCTTGGGTCAGCTTGGCTCATCCAGCACTAGCAAGCCCTTTAAAAGCAGATGCCAAAACGTCCTGTACTTGAACAGGATGGTTTCCGGCACCTTGTGAGCTGCAGTGCCTGAAAGGCAAGCATTGGCGATGTGAGACATCAAGCCCATAAAGG